TAGGGTAAAGGTATTCCAGAAAACTGGTATGTACATGGGGTGGCAGAGATGAGTGTCAAATTGCAATTTTAAGTCATATGATCAAAGCCTCGTGAGAATTTCACATCTTGTCAGTAAAAAGAAGAAGAAATTAACTCTGGCTGTTTGGAAAATAAGACTTTAAAACACTGAGCCATCCAAGGTGCCAAAGATTGAAGTGTGGCTGATGTGTGGCAAGGGAAGATGTATGGGGGTCTTCTTCATTTTTTGGTTTTTTTTTGGTAATGGTGGTACTGGAGTTTGAACTCAGGACCTTGTGCTTGCTAGACAGGTGCTCTAGCACTTGAGCCACTTCCCCATCCCCCATCATAGGGGCCTTCTTTAAGTTGCTATTGCAGAAATCCAGGTAAGACATGAAGGTACAGTGGAACTTGCTCACTTGTACTGGTAATAATTGGTCACTTTGGGGATATACTTTGAAGGTACCAAAGTTTTCTGATGGAATAAAGGTAGGAGAAAGGAGGGCTCTAAGTGTAAGCCAAAAGTTTTAACTTCAGTAATTAAAATGGGAAAGGCTACAGGTATAGAAGATATAGTAGATATCTATTGCATCTCATATCACAAGTGATATAAGCCCTTTGGCCACTGCCCCACTACTAATGGCCAACTGACCTCAGGCTTAGCCACTGCCTACAGGAGTTCGGAGACCAGATAAAATGTGTGCATGTGTGCACTGGGGAAGGGGAAAGTAACGTAACATTCTTTTTGATTGAATCTTGACCTCTCCCAATTCACTGCTTTTCCCCACCATTTTTTCATTGGGATTCTACTCTGTAAGCAAATAGTAACACAGGAGATTTTGGCTTAGGTTCTGCTTTCTGGAAGAAGATAAGCTAAGACAATATCTAAGTGGATATGTGGGTAGGAGTTTAAATGAGTCTGGCATTTGGGAGAGCAATTTGGGAATATGTGATTTTTAGTGTTGTCAGTGTAAACATAGTATTTACAATCAGACTAGTTGAGAACACAAAGGAGTGAACAGTAAGATAAATGACTCAACGTAGAAAAGATGGAGATTTTAGTACCTTTGAGAGTAGAGACGATGTGTTTTATTCAATTATCTCCTCAGTTTCTGGAAAAGTGCATGGCACAAAGTTGATACTTCACAGATATTTTTAGGTAAACGAAATAGGTCATCATGGCCTTGGGGTTAGGTAGGAAAGAAAATCAAGTCATGAGGGGTAATGAACTAGGACAGGCAGCGTTCATGGAACTTGAACCCTGAAAACTAGGTTCAACAGCAGAAGCAAGGGAGAAAAATAGCAGAAAAAGGAAGCCGTGGTTAGAGAAATGCTTTCAAATACTACATTCTCCTTGAAGCCTTTTATAATCATCTCATGAGACCCTCCTCCTTCCTGGGCCTCTTTAAAGATACTTATCTATCTCTTACTGTGTCAAGTTATGTTCATGTGCTCTCCTCTACTCTCTTCCCAATATTCTTCAACTGAGAAACTGAACCAAAAAAAAAAAAAAAAAAAAGGAGGTATCTTCCAAATCCCAAAGTCAAAAATTGAATGTTAAAACTTCAAAGTTTCTGGCTCATGCCTATGGTTTATGGAGAGGCTGAAGCAGAATACAGGAAATTTAGAGACTAGATTTTAAATCTGGAATATATCATAAATGCTTATTAAAACAACCTGGACTTGGATGAACAGAGAATTCAATGAATGAGTACAGAAGCCACTAGAGCAGAAATCAAGATTACATGGTAACTGTTTTGAATCTCACTGGTCTGATGAAGTGAGTAAGGGAAGGAAGACTGCAGTTAGAAATCTCCTAAGGTTAGCAGAGGTGATGAAATAAGGCCTACATGAAGGTCAGTGGGAATAAAAAAGAATGAACATGAAAAAAATTAAAATAAAGAAACCATATTTGGTAGGTAATAAATATAGGTTATGGGTAGATGATCCTAAGACATTGGTATCATGTACTGACCCAGGGTAAGAAAAAGAGGAGGAAGATAATGAACTTGATTTGAAAATGTATTTGACATAAGGGTGAGACATCCAGGTAAAACTAATAGTAGGCAACTTTCTTATGAACACTTTTTACATGTCATTATTCCAACTACACTTTGCATCTATTATCTCATTTACTCATCACAGTAACACTATAAGGTAGGTGCCACTATCATCTTTACTTTGCAGGTAGGGAAAATGAAGCACAAGGATAAACAATTTGTCCAAAGTCATTAGCTAATAAGTGGCAGAGCCAGTGCAATAAACTGAATGTTTGTGTTCCTCCAAAATTCATATGGTGAAATCCAAAACCCCAATGTGATGGTATAAGGAAGTAGAGCTTTTGGAAGGCAACTGGGTCATGCAGGTGGAGCCTTTATGAATAGAAATACTGCCCTAAGAAAGGAACCTTGGAGACCCCTTGACTTCTTTAGGCATCAAGAGGCTCCAAGGAGAAAAAGGCCATCAGCAGCCTGGGAGAAGGTCCTCACCAGAACCTGACCATTCTGGCAGCCTGATCTCCAACTTCCAGACTCCAGACCTGTGAGAAATAAATGTCTGTTTATAAGCCACCAAGTCTATGGTACTTTACCATAGCAGACCCAAACACTGACGGTATCAGGACTGGATCCCAAAAATTTTAAGACACTTTGCTTGGGACAACAGAGAAATTCATTATTTAATAAATATGTAATAAGCACAACAATTGTGATGTTGCTAGGGATGAGATGGGAAGGGAGAGGGAAAGCAAGTGAACCATACCGATGTCATCCTTCCAGCACAGACATTACAAGGACACTAGAAAAAATAACTACTAGTATGATAATCAGAAAAGTGATAAAATAGTTTGGTAGGACTGAAACAGAGAGTTCCCTGAAAAAGAGATGGCATGTGTAAATGCCTTGAGGTGAGAGCCTGGAAAAATAAGACTAATACAGCTGAAGTCCAAAGAGTTAGGAGAACAGTTGGAAAGGCTGGAAAAGACAAGTCCAGATAATGGAGCTTACATAGGGTTCAGTAAGCAAAAGGAAGACACTGAAAGAATTTAAGAAGGGAAGTGACATAATCAGATTTGTATTTTGAGGGTTCCTCTAGCAGCAGTGTGGCAAATGGACTGAAACAAGCCAGAGCACTTTTGGAGGATGTACATGGGGACTACTGCAGGACTCTAAGCTTAGACTATAATGAGATGAAAGAATTCCATGGGAACAGAGAGGTCACAAATCCATTTTTTCAGGAAGCAGACAATCTAGGTGACTGATGTGTACTGGGAGTGTGCTAGGTTTCTAGCTTGTACCAAGTAGATGTGCTGAGAACGTCCTTTACTGAGCCAGGGGCTATGGGAGGAGGTTTTGGAAAGAAATATGATACACAGGTTGAGTTTGACATGCCCCAGGCATCTAAAGGACAGAAAGATTAATCTAGAGTTCAAGAGCAAGGCCTGAGTTACAGATTGGAGACTCTTTAACAGAGGGCATTTGAAGCTATTGGAAGAAGATGAGACCAGTAGGAAAGTATACATGATGGAACTCAGAAGACCAGAGCTCAGCTCAGCAGATTCTAACATAGAAGATGGATAAAGAGGACGCTAGTTGTCAAGGAACAGAGGTAAGAGGAAAACTGACAGAAGAGCATTGGAAAGAGTGTATCTGGAAGAGGGAATGGCCAACCGTGTCAAATGCAGGGACAAGGTCTTTTAAAACAAGAACTGATCCCCGATCTGGATTAACAGATATAAAACTTGTTTGTGACAAATCAGAGTCGCTACAGGTGACTGGTAGGGATAGAAGCTGGACTGGAGAGGGATATGAAAGAACATCATGGGGTAAGAGACAGAGTTGGCTAGGGATTTAGGGAGGACAGAAATCTTTTCAAGAAATGAGAGACATTAGCCTAATTAAAACACTAGTCAGAAAGAGCTGGCAGAGAAGGAAAGTTGAAAAAACAAGAACAGTGTTCAGTATGGTGTCCCTGAGAAAGCAGGAAGGGCTGGGACCTAGAGCACAGGAAGGGCAACTCTTTCGGTGTAACAGAAGTCACTAAGGGGTCGAGTCCAGAGGGACAGAATTACACGACTTTGTCCAGAGAGAGGACTTTAGAGTTCAATAAAAAGGAGCATGGGGACTTAGTGGCTGGCCTTGAGAGCAACTACAGTAGTTTTGAGGCTGCGGAAGCCACACGGTCAGATTTAGGGTGGGGGTGGGTGAAGAAGACAAGGGTGCAGCAAGCCACTGCTGCGGAAAACGGCTGAGAAAAGAAATCAACACAGGATGTTGCCTGAAGAAGGGCGGGAAGGAGGGCTGAGCATATTTCGAGTCGAAGAGCAGCCTTGGTGAAGGCAGGTCGTTGTTCAGAGGCCTCCGGGGGCGGCCCCTGTAACCCAGAGCCTTGGCTGTCTGCTGCGGGGCTGAACCTCGCGAGGTGTCATGAGCTCCGCCATCGCAGTTCTCCGCTAATTCTCGCAGCGAGCAGATCGGGAAAACCATGCCCGAGGCCTCGCGAGTCCGCATCCGGCCCTGGCCCGGTCCCAGGGTGTCTGCAGAGATGCAGCCCTTTCTTGCTCCGCCCGCCCGGCTCCCGCTCTGCAGCCGCGTCCCGACCCCGGCCGCGCGTCTCCCATGTCCCCGCAAGCATTTGAAAATTCCCGGGCCCGCAGCAACCGCCCTAAAGCCCGCCGCTTTCCGGGGGTTTCCATCAAGTCGCCGGCACCCTCGGGAATTCCCCACATGGCCACACACAAACCCCGTTTCCTTCAAATTTCCGCCGCGGGGTTTTAAGTATTCGAACCCCCTCGGGTGGGGCTTGACCGGCTTCTCCAGGAACAGGTCTCAGCCCGCCTTCGCTTTTCCTCCTAGCCTAACTTCTCCACCTCGCCCGAAGGAAGCCGAAGGCGTTCGGTAAATTCCGCTGCCAGGGCGGGGGCGGGGCCGCTCGAACTGCTCCGGACCGACTTCGGCTGTTTCCGTGTGCGGCCGCTGCGCACTCGGCACTGGGCGGCGCTGGCTGGCTCCCTGGCTGCGGCTCCTCAGTCGGCGGCGGCTGCTGCTGCCTGTGGCCCGGGCGGCTGGGAGAAGCGGAGTGTTGGTGAGTGACGCGGCGGAGGTGTAGTTTGACGCGGTGTGTTACGTGGGGGAGAGAATAAAACTCCAGCGAGATCCGGGCCGCGAACGAAAGCAGTGACGGAGGAGCTTGTACCACCGGTAAGAGGAGCAGGAGGAGGAGGCAGGAGCCGGAGAGAGCCGGGGGGACGGAGGGGGGACGGGGAGGCGCCGGACACCCGCGCTCGGGGCCTTCCCCTCGCAGGAGGGGCCGCGGTAAAGATGGAGCCTCCGCCCGAGCCCCACAACATCGCCGCCGCTCGCAGCGAACAAAGAATAATGGCGGCGGACTGGAGCCAGCGGCGGCCGGGCGGCAGCGACTCTGCCTGCAGCCAGCGGCGGCGCTCATGGCGGGGGGCGGCGGGCGAGCGGCCGGGCTGGCGGGCGGGGTGAGAGCCGGCGGCCGGGGGTGTGAGCGGGCGGGCGGCCGCGGCGAGCTGGCGCCCGCGTTCCCGCCGCCGCCGCTGGGCCGGGCCGGGCCGGGTCGGATCGGGCGCGGAGCCGGGGCCGGGGCCGCCCCGGGGGAGGCCGCCCGCTCGGCACGGCTCGACCCGCCCGGGCCCGGCTGTACTCCCGGGCTGCGGCCGCCGGGTGTCCGTGGGGGGTGGAGGAGGAAGAAGGCAGGAGTTGAGGGCAGAGGAGGTGAAGGTGCCTCTGCCTTCCCGGTGGCGGCCGGGGCGGCTCGGCGAGGGGACGGGCGGCCACGTCCGACCTGCTCTCCGCGCGCTTTGTGCAATAAAGTTGGAAACCTGAGGTTTGCTCTCGTGCTGTGTTTTATTCTCGCCTGTCCCCCGCTCCCACACCGTTGGGGGAGACGCTGTTTTCTGCCCCTGGCTGCTCACTTGCCGAAACCTCGTGTTTTTTAAGGGCGTTTTTGACTCTTTGCCTCACCACCACCACCACCACCAGCCCTCCCCCCCCAAATAAAAAGTCGGTAGTCATGGAAATGCATTCTTTTTGAGAGGAAAGGAGTGCTAAGAAAAATATTTGGAACAACTTTTAAAAGCAACTGTTGGGATCGAGTAAAAGGGAAGCTTCGTGTTTGCAAACAGTTTCGGTTTTAACCCTTTTCAATAAGGTTAATAATCACTTCGAGGTCTCTCATCCTGAAACTCCTCGTAGAAGCGATTAGCCCGAGTACTTTTGTTTTGCATCACTTTTTTTTTTTTGCGAGGGGGTGGGGGGACCAATTTTGCCAAGGGTGTTTGAGGCGTCTGGTTTCTCCCCTTACTCCTGCGCACCCCCAACCACGTTTCACACACATTTCTGTCTGAACTTTAATGAGAAATTGGTTTAATTCGAATTATAAAAATAGGCGCTAAAAATATCCATTATTTTTCTCAAGCAGTAGGTAACCCAAGTCTGGGATTGGTGACAATTTAAGCCACAAGACTCAAGACTTTTTTCTTCACTTATTGGGGAAAGGGGCCGCAAAAAAGTCACCGACATATCAAAGATTAAAAGACATTTATAAAGGACCTGCAGTATGACCTATTTAAATTTGTCATACCTTCTCAAGAAGTTAGAATTTCATTCTAGCTTCAGTTTGCATCGGGTCTCCCTTCTAAAGATTCAGTGTAAGATACTTTTGGTTGCCACCAATGGAAATCTTGTACACAAACTGCTCATTTCCTAATTTAAAAGTAAGGCCCCAAATAGCTGTTTTAGGTGAACAGATGTAATTTTAAGAAGTTTATTGTCATTTGTAATTGAATAGTGGTTGGTACATAGGAGGCTTCTGGTTAGAAATATTGATTGGTAGAAGTAGTGTCTTCTGATTTTATGTATCCAACCCACTTTTTCAAAACCTACTTTGCATTCCTAGTATTTTAAAGACCACTTTAGGAATTTCTCATTGCCAAGAAAATTAAGAAGATAAAATACAAGGCGGTTTTCCTTAAGGATCAATTTTATTCCCAAACACTGAAGAAAGTATATATAGTATTGATGATGGTACAATACTGTTTTTCCTTAAAAGATTTCCTGCAAACTAGAAATTTTCCCCTATAGACAATATGTGAGAATGACTCTTTTCTTAGAAGATTTAAAAAAAAAGTTTTCGATGTGTTCTTTCTTCAGTTTTGACCAAAAGATCTCTTCAGTTGTATTTACAGGTTGATAATTTGTGATTATTAGCAATTTCAGGTAGAACTTTTCAAACTTTTATATTCCTTAGTGTTTGAACATTAACCTGGTACCTGGTACTAAATTGTACCTATGCACTCTCCCTGGGGTCTGTAAAAATTACAACTGGATCTTCTGTTCCTTCTCCCCTCCCTGCCCCTCCTCTCCTTTGTCATGGATACATGCATTTAGAAAGATGAATTCTTTGACAGAATTCGTCTAAAGAATTAAAAAAAAAACACTTCTTTTGGAATTTACAACTCTAGTTCTAATGAATGAATTTTGAATGATTTTTTTTTTTTAACTTAAGGAAACTGAAAACTGGTCCAAAAACTCATTTTTCTTTTGTCAGAAACTCCTATTCTTGGTTAGGTCTGACCAGAAATTTTGGTTTCTTTTTATTTTTGTCTCTTATCCTAAGATTCTTTGTTTTGTTTGAGTACAATATAGTTGTAAAAAACCAAGTATGTATTTTCCACTTCACCTCATTTTAAAAACTTACAGTAAAGAACATCATTTACTTGTAACTTTAATGTTTACAATAAGATTTATAATTTTATTTACTCCATAAATACCTCAGCAGACAGCTGTAGAACTTGCTTATAGCCAGCTTGTGATAAAGTCTTGCAAACATCTTTCTTGATATTTGATCTTATTTCCTAATACGGCTTCTCATGCATAGTTAGAGCCCACATCTGAATTTAAGAATGTAGCAATTGTCAGGGAATAGAAAAATGTAGGATTTTTTTTCTTGCCCACGTGCACATTCATCTTTCCCACAGTATTACTTGAAATAATAGTTTATGGCAGTTCAAATATTTTTTTAGTATTTATTGTGACAAAGAATGTAGTTGAAAGTGTCTGGTTTGGAATAATCATGGACCTTAGTTTTCATCGTAACAATGCCAGTCCTGTCATGTGCCCACCCTCAATGAATTTTGTGACCTAGGGAAATTTTCTTATCTCTAAAATTATAATAATACCTACTTTCAGGGTTGTGAGATAAATAGAAAGTACCTTCCCTGAGGTAGGTCTTCAACTAATTATAGCTATTCATCTTAGCTTTATTTTAGCTTCCAACTTGTGAGACCTTCTGCAAGTTTCTTAACTTCTCCATACCCTACTATGTTTTATACATTGGTCAAAGGTGCCACAAATCCAAAGATGAATTTCACTGTCTTTTTCTCAAGAAACTGTTGGGAATACAGTAACAATGCAGAATATTTGTCGTAAGAAAGCAGTCAAAGGAAAGAGATTATCTTTGATGAAGTAAAAAGCAGTATTAGCTTGCTTGCTTTTTTTTTTTTTTTGTAGTCTTGGTTTTGTTTTTGGAAAAAAATCATTTAGATGGTCCACAATTCAAAACGAAATATAGCAAAATTCCTGTATTCACCCAAGCATTGCCCAATTATTATTTGTCTTTTCCTGTGCAAGCAGATAGATGTATGCACTTCTGCCTTTATGCAAGTGATAGCACACTATGCACACTATCCTAAATCTTACTCCTTTCCCAGTCACCCCCTCTTCACCCACATCCCCAGCCTTATTTAATATGGCTTAGCAATTGGCTCTGTAAGTTGATGGAAAGTTTTGGTTTTTTTTTAAATAAAGTATGAAGAATTTGTTCATGTGGATATACTTGTATCAACCAGTTAGCTTATTTTATTTTTCGATTACTTTTTAAACTAAGGGAATTTGCTAGTACGCCTTTATTTCTTTAAGTGAAAAACATTACATTTGAATGAAAAATAGCAAACAGCTTGTGGCAGGAAGCTGATATTTGAACTGCTTTATTTCTTTTTTTTAGCTCCAATTTGTAACAGTTTTAGTAAAATTGTCAAGGTGAGGCAAGCTGTGTCATAAGAGGTAACTCACAAGGTTAATTTAGTCTGCTTTACCTTTCCTTCATTGAGATTCTTACAGTCCTGATCAGATTGCTTCCTTCAATTACTATTTTGGCCAAAAAGTTTATGAATTTTTCCCTCTTAATGAAAAAAAAAGACACTTTATATAGTCCTGTTTTTTTTATTCTTAGGCCTTTTTTGTGGGGTTTTTTTTTTTTTTTGGAGGGTGGTATAGGAGTATTGTTTGAGACAGGTTCTTGCTATGTAGGCTAGGCTTGCCTTGAACTTTTTTTTATCCTCCAGCCTCAGCCTCTTGGGTGCTGGGATTACAGATATGTCCCACCATGCCTGGCTTTTTTTTTTTTTTTAAACCAGACAATTGGGCCGGAGATCAGCTCAGTTGTAGAACATCTGCCTAGCATGTGTGAGGTTTGATTACCCATCACTGCAAAAAATAAAGCAGACAACTCAGAATAATATTACCTGGTAAAGCTGTCTGGTGTCCTAACCAGCCCTACATTTATTTATTTTTTACATACTCATTAACTTACTTTGATGATTTTCCTAATATTCATGTAATTATTGAGTCTTATATTTTCTACCTTAATAGAAAAAAATCATAAGTGTTACATGTATGGCTGTTTTCTGAGCTTATAATCTTTAGTACTGAGGGGGTTTTTGTTTGTTTTTTACTGTTGGGAATCTTTGATCAACCAATTGGACCAAGTAATACACAATTTAAACTCGAGCACAAAACAAGCATCAGTACCTCTTTGTTTTTCCTTCTTAGCGCTTCAAAGCAAAGTTACGCTATAGTACATTATATTTAAAATACACTTGCTGTGGATTTTCTAAGTAACAAAAACAAAAAATAATGATTTAGCAGCAGAGACACATACCACTTATCTTTTGAAAAATGATTAGTCATTTTTTTTTAGTGCTCAAGGTGTTACAGTGTTGTTACCCATGCATACTAAAATTTTTAATGCATTTTTACCATTATTTTGAGGTTTGCCTAGTCATTTATATAAAATGTTACTAATACGTGCTATTTTTACTTGGTAAGTAATGAAGATGTACACAAAGCATGCATCGTTACAGATTTGGGGGATGGGAATGGGATAAATGATTGAA